ATTGGACTAACTGTGCCTGGGCTGGCATCAAACACAGGTCCTCCTGCCTCTGCCTTCTGAGTAGCTGAGCTTGCACACCATGCCTGGCCCTTCTTATTCCTTTTTACCCTTCTTTCTTTCTTTTTCTCCACTTCACCTCTTGATTTGTACTTGACACATTTTCTTGTACTTGTCCCTCTTCATAGCTCTTCCATGTAGTTGTCTGTCTCCAGATAAAATTTCTCCATTCTACAAATGGCAGTGTTAAATATGAGAGATACATTTTGTGGCTGAGAGGTTAAGGCATGGGTCTTAGAGGTTTGACCTTTCTGTTGTGTATATTTTCAACTGGTCATTTTCATATTTGCTCTGGTTCCACTGTTTGCTATAACCTTTATCTCTGAGCTTCTCAGGAGTTCTGAGCCAACTGGAATGCTTCTCACTGCTCCTCCTCCTACAGTCCCTTTAGATTAAAGCTTCCTCTGCCCATCTTAATCATACTACAGCTGTTTTTTATCTTTCAGAAGTTTGTTGAAATTATGGATGCTATCTTTTTGGGCTTATATCTTTAAAAATATTTTTATAAGGTGAATTTTTGAAACTGACTTCTTTAGTTTGGCATAATGCCACTGCGATTCATCTAAGATGATTTTGTCTGTCAACAGTTTTTCTCATACCTTTTTGATTTCCTCCTCCTTCCCTCCCTCCTCCATTCTCCTACCCTTCCTCTTCTTTTTTTCTTTCCACTTTTATCACTTTTACATTTATTTACATGTGTATACATTGTTTGTGCCACCCCCCCTCACCTCCTCTTCTTTCTCCCCCATACTGTTACCTTACCATCTTCAGTCAGGTCCCTTTTTTTTTTTTTCTTTTCTAGGAGGATGGAGAGGGAAAGGGAGGGAAAGAGAAAGAAATATTTTTTTTTTCTTTTTAGAACCCAGGGACTCATGCATGCTAGGCAAGCATGCTACTAGTAAGCTAATATCCACAGCCTATCATATCAGTATTAAGTGACTCAGGATCTGTCTGACTTAAAATTTTTAACTACAATATTTTTTCCCCTTTTCCATCTTAGACCTCTGTTTTTACAGTTCCTGCAGTATAGTCTCTTGCTGCATTTTTTCTTATTCTACTGGACCCTCCTAAAATTTTCTTTTCAAAAACTATCTTATGACTACTACCTGCCTTGAATTTCCTATAGCAACTTATATTGTACTAGTTATGTGGAGAGTCATTTATTTGTGCATCAAATTATTATGTGTGTATTATATTCCTGATTATATATGCTCCAGAAGATCAGGGATTTAAAAAAATATCCTTCTGAGCTTATTGCAAAGTATTACATTCAACAGAGTGACTCATGTTGGTATGATTTATGGAATTATCATACATAAGGACTTTAGAGCTAGAGACAATTATCATTAACTCAGTCCCTTAAATTTAATGATGAAAAAACAGGTTTGCAATTAGCTTAATTATTATAAGTACAGTAATACATCAACTAAAAGCAAATGCTTCCTGATTTCCAAAGGTGACTTATGGAACTGTGTGACAATTTAAGTGAGGAGTTATACTGTAGTGCTGTATTTTATCTAACTAGTAGTTTTACACATTATATTTCACATGAGGTTCTACTATTGTATCATTTTTGTCAACTTGGAAATAGATTAAATGTGGCTCCAGAATTACAAATCACATAAAACTTCTGTTTTCTATTTTTGTGACTTATAGATGCTATAGGAAAGATCAAAGTCAAAGTTGCTATGTTACTTGTTTTTTAAAGAAAAAGATTTGCAGCTTCCTTGGTAACTTTGCAATGAGTGATTGTGAAATATTTTCACTTACTACTTTCAGATCTGATGTCCAGTCTTACTGAAAAGACACCCATTTTCTATCTCAGATTTTTTGTATGTCTAGATTCTGCTGATTCTGTTAACACTATTCAAGAATCTTCTAGGGACAGTATTTTTCAAAAGAGCATTCTATCATGTTATAAAAGAACATAAACAAAACTCCCAACCCTAAACTGCTGATTTTTGAAAGTATCTATTTGGAAGTAATTTATGTTTCAGATGATAAGAAGTCTGGTAATGGATTTCAAGTGTGCCTAGGAAGACTCAATGAAGTTTGTTAGACACCTAGGCAAATTCCAACCATATTTTTTTCCCCCAAATAATCACAGTACACAGTAGGAGCAAGGGTACAGTGAGGAACCCTGAGACTTGAATTCCAGTTACCAAGTCCCCATGCTCATACCAAGGTGCCTTCTTTGGCTTAATTGAATACAGTTTAAGTAGAGGGGCATTTATGGATTAAGACAACAACCAGATTGACATTTGTGCTTTAAATTTTCACTTTTTGGTGATAGTGGGGTTTGAAACTGAGACCTCATGCATGCTGGGCAGGTGCCCCCAGCTCTTTTTGCTTTACTTATTTCTCAAAATAAGTTTTCATGCTTTTTTGCCTGGGCTGGCATCAGACTGTGATTCTCTTACCTACACCTTCCATGCAGATGGGGTTACAGGCATGAGCCGCTATGCCCAGCCTGACATTTGACGTTTCTTAATGATAATTTGGGCTTTCTTAATGATAATATCCTTACTCTTTTTAGCCAATATTCAGATCATTATTTTTCTCAGTTCTCTGTTCATCTAACCAATACTTAGGGAGCATTCTTTATGTATCAGTTACTATTCTAAGTGCTGGGGATGTACCAGAGAACAAAGCAGTTTTGAGCTTAGCTGTATTATCTAACTTAAGTTTCTAAAAGGATCATTACTGTGTGGCAGATAGATGAGTAGAAGGTAGTGGAAGAGGGGAAACTGAAACTAGTGAAATGACTTTGGCAATAATCCAAGAGATATTGGTAGCTTGGTCTGGAGTGGTAATAGTGTTGGAGATAATGTCAAGTGGTCAAATTCTTAACATATTTTGAAGTTACAGCCAACAGAATTTTCTAGTGTATTGATTATATAGTATGATAGAAAAGAGTCAAATTTTGATCTTTAAATGAGGAAAATGCAGAGGAGAAGGTTTAAGAATAAGGCATGGAAAGTAGAATTCAGTTTTAGTTTTAGGTTTGAAATGCTTTTGAGACATCTAAATGAAATCTTGAGTTAAAGGGAAATGTCAATCTGGACATATGTGAGTTGTCAGCACACCAATAGGATTTCAAACCATAAGACTAGTAGATCACAAAACAAATTATAGGGGAAAAAAAGGTAAAATACTTTGAAATTCAGATGTTGAGAGGAGTAAAAATAGAATCATTGAAGTGATGGAAGGCACTTTGAGTCAGACTGTTTCAAATTATCCATGTTATTCAGTATTGCATTCATGGTTTATTTCCAAATTAAAAATATATCCTTGGAGGTGATCAACTGTGTTATGTTGCTGATGGAGAAGTTGAAATTTGAGATTGACTGTTTATTTAGAAACATGGAAGTCACTGGTGATGATAGCAGCAGAAGCTTGTCCTAAATGGGATCAAAGAAAAGATGAGAAGAGGAAAGGGAGACAAGTATAAAGAAATCTGTGTTTTTATTTTAGAGAAAAGAAATAGGATGGGTAACTGAAATCAAAGAGTTTTGGGTGTTTTTTAAAATTTGGTAATGTGTTTATAGATGGAATGATACAGTAAGAATTATACTGTACTATATTCCTGGAATATAAGGATCTACAGCTACTTTAGGAAGTAGTTAATATGAACCCTTGGCTCTTTTTGGACAGAGTCATAAGTTTTCCATATTATTTGTTAGTTCAGTGGTACCGCCTTGAGCAGTGCTTAGGGGACTGGTAAGAATTTCATAATCTCTGTTCTTGGAAAATTTACAGTCTAGTTGGCTAAATGGAGAAAACAAGAACAGCACAGGGGCTGGTGGTGGAGTGGCTCAAGCGGTAAAAGCACCTGCCTACCTGCCTACCAAGTGTGAGGCTCTTGAGTTCATATCCCACTGCCGCCAAAAAGCCAAAACCAACCAAAAAAAAAAAAAAAAACCCAGCACAAACAGCTTTAGCAACTTCAAATTAGAGAAAATAAACTGAAAAAACAACAACAACAACAAAAACCCAAACAGGTCCTTTCACTTTCTAAAGAGGACATGAGTATTTATAAACCTTGATGAGGAAGAGAATTTGAACTGTGTCAGGTAACTTGGTCCATTACAGTAGATTGTGGAGAAAACCTAAAGGAATAGGAGGACTGATTTCAATATTAACAATTCTTATTCGCACATTTCACCTTTGCTAAATCCATATGTCCTTAGTTTCTTGAAAAGGGAGTGGGAATAATGTCTAAGTGCAAAGTGTAAAGACATCTGTCGCAGTATACTGTGGATTCTTGACTCGTGCTCCCAGGGAATAGACATCTCTTTAAGCAAAGCTGACGCATGCATGGTAAGTAGTTGTGTCTGAGCCAGCGGACTGGGGTCCAGTTCGGCCAAGCTAGTTCCTGGCTCCAACTGATCCCTCCCCGCCTTCTCCCCGGCCTCGAGCCGCACTTCCGGCTTGGGGACGAGAGCGCTCGCTGGAGGGGCGCTTGGCAGCATCAGAAGGCGCAAGGCAAAAGTCGGTGTCCCGACACAGCCCTTCCCAGCCGTCTCAGCCCAAGGAACAGTAATACTCCACAGCGGCTTCTTCGATGGGAAAAGCCGGGTTGTACCCTTGTAAAAGGAGTTGTCGGTTTTTGTTTTGTAGCTCATCCAGCTTCATAACCACAGTTCGGACACCCCATCGTTCCTTCCGGCTCACAGGTGGCCAGATGCACACTTCTCGCTCAAAACACTGATTTCCTGTGACAGTCTGGTCTCACGTGAGTTCCGCCGAACCACATTGGGCCCCGCCTGTCTGGACTCAAAAACTTTTTTCAGTCTCAGCTCCAGCAGCGAGGCGGCGGCAACTGCCGGCGAAGGTCCTGAGGGAGGTCGCGGGCTGGGGCTGCGAGCCGCCTATGGCGCCCCGGCCGCCCGCGGCTCTAGCTTTCCTCCTCTCCACGGTCAGGACGCAAGCCTCCCGCCCGGAACCGTGTCTGTCCTTTGACGCTTACGTAAGGCCGGGAGGTAGTTCCGCTTCCGGCGTGGGGATTTTCGTTCGTGGTGTTCAGTTGTCGCGGTTGGTGGGCAGTAACTGAGTCACGATGCTGCGGAATGTGCTGGTAAGTAGCTTCTCGGTTTGCATTCGTGGTCGCGGGTGGGGAAGAGGTTAAGGGACCACGACAGAAAACCCTTTCCTGGAAGTGGGGCAGAAGTCAGCTCTGGTGTCACCTTGGTCTGTGTCCTTTTGTCTCACCTTACTTTCCATCCCAGGGCGTTGGGTAGATGTAGAGAGGGGAGAGACTGGGAAGGTGGGCCCAGAATTGTGGGTTAGACCTAGCCTGGCTCTCACATCATCCCTAACTAGTGGGTCATCGGTGAGGTCGCAGCTCTGAGGTACCACCAGGGTCCGGTAGATACCCGGAAGCACTAGGCAGAAAACTGTTTCTCCTTTCAGTGGTTCTTTGAAAACAGGCTAAAACCTAGTCATTCAGTTTTGGATAGGACTTCAGGAGTAATCATGTCTAAGTCTAATGTTGGTTCCACCAGGCGGTTCTGCATTGCTTGTCAGCCCTCTACCGAAAAGTACTTTAACAAAATTTCGATTTAAAGGGAAAAATGTAACTATCATTATTTCTTTTGTAATTATGTAGCAAAGCTTGACACAGCCTTTCAATACCATTTATTTTAGAAAGTGAAGCTCGTGTTTATTTCATTATTTCAACTAAGCATGCTATGCAAATACTTTTTAAAAGGATTTGTACCCTGTTAAAAATATCTTAGGTGGCTGGGGATGTAACTCCGCGGTAGAGTGCTTGGTTAGCATGATCAAGGCCCTGGGTTCAACCCAGCATCGCAAAAAGAAAAAACTCCCGGAGAGAAAAATGTAATGGAGTAATTTAATTAAGTAGGAATCATTCTGGTGTATTTTGCTTTCAGGCAAGAGATTTTTAATAATGTGGGAGAGCAGTAAATTAACACATTTGCGCTTAGCCTATTTTGGTTAACCATGCTTTATTTCTGTAATATCTGTGTTTCAATATGTTTTCCTCAAGGATTACAAAAGGCTACTGGTTCACTTCAGGCAGAGATAATGAATATGGTCTTTGGAGACTGAGGCTGCAGATTGTAATGTGAAGAGTAGAGCAGAGGATGGACAAGAAATTGAAAAATGTCAATGCTGGTCTATGACTTTATTATGACATCAGTCGGTTTTGAAGATTTTTTTAGGTTCTGTTTAATACGTATGGATTTTTGCATTCCAGGCTCTTCGTCAGATTGCCCACAGGACCATCAGCACTGCTTCACGCAGGCATTTTGAAAATAAAGTTCGGGAGAAACAAAAGCTGTTTCAGGTACTGAAATATTTTATAGCAGGTTGTTACTTGTAATAATTACATTACCAAAAAGTAGAGGTAAGAAGTAAAGCTAGAGATCTCTGCTTGTTAGTTATTCTCTTGTATTAACAAAAGCATGATAAGAAACTCTATTGGTAGCTAACTAAGCATTTGCTATATCCAAAAGGTCCTTGGGAAAGAAGTAAAAAATGAGGGAACATAGTTTAGGTCAATGATCAAGTTTTTTAGAGGAGTTTGTGATGAATTGATGTTCACTAGGGGGAGTAGTTGCATAGGAATAGACAAAGGAACCATTCGCAGAAATTTGATAAATGTTTAAGGATATAGCACATCTGTAGGAAAGAATACAATGAATCAGTATTGGGAAAAAGGTTATTTTAAAGAAAGAAGGCAGGGTGTGATAGTGCACATCTGTAATCCCAGCACTCAGGAGGCTGAGGCAAGAGGACCCTGAGCTCCAGACCTGCCTGGACTACAATATTGTGACCTTATCTCAAAAAAAAAAAAAAAGAAAGAAAGAAAGGTAAAGTTTGAGCCTTTCTATATAGAATAGTAAGAAAATAAGTTGTGCATATAAATGATTTCTTCTTCAAAGAATTAAAATATAAGAGAATATTTCTTACAATCTTAGTGGTGGTAAAATCTTCTAAGGAAATCTGTAAAGTTGGGGACCTGAAAGAAGAAAAGTGATGTGGTTTCGTGACATAAGGAAAGTGAACATGACGAAAGTATTTTGTATTCATGTATGACAATAGAACAATGAAAACTTGAAATTGTTCTAAGAGGAGGAATGATGGAGACGGTGGAGGGGTGAATCTAATATAAGTACATATGTAGATGTCACAACAAATCCCCCCTGTTCAACTATATGTTAATTTAAAAAGCTATCTCGAAATAAAAAAAATGATTTATAGTTAGTGAAGACAAGGGACAAATTGAGAGCAAACTTTCAAAATACAAAAGATTAGTGTTATTAGTATACAGAGAGCTACAAATCAATAAGAAATGAAAATTCAGTTCACTGAAGTCATCAGCCAGGTCAAGAGATGCAGACTCCAGAAGAATATGGCTGGCTCTGTGTTCCTGACTGCCAGAGCAGCCTATGTCCCAATCACATGCTAGGCAGGCAGTATATGGAGAAGCATTGGTGGCTGTGGACTGTGCCTTTGTATGGAAGCAGAAAATGATCTGTCCTCTGGAGGCTGAGGACCAGTACTGGCTGAGCATGCCTTGTTGAACAGGAGTACTGCCATGCTGTGTTATCTGGGGCTAGGCCAGCCATCCAGGTCACAAAGGTGGCCAACATTTCAAATTCATTCCTGTGACTTCCTTTTCCCTCTACTGGAACAGATTGGTTACAGACCAGTTGAATCATCTCACTGTCACTAAGAAATGATTCCTAACCCTGAGCTGTCACCCTTCCAATTTTATAGATCATAAGACTGCGCAGTTTACCTGTTCCTGGAACTGCAATCCTGTAGCTGCTATAAAAATGCAAGCCTTTGATTAGAGCCTTTATTAAAACAAAGGGGAACAACAGAAAAGTTAAAATGATAAGTTACTACTCTGCCCCATGTAATTAGCAATATTTTAGAAAGATTTTAAATAAGTTTTATATATCTGGTATGGGAGATAAGTACATTTATCCACAGTACTTTCATACATGCTAAATAGTAGCATAATTGGGACAAAAGTTTTGAAGGTATTTGAGTATTATTAAAAACAAATTACATGCCCTATCTTCTAGGAAGCCTACTTTTAAGAATCTTTCCTGTGGAAATAATTGCACAAGTATATGAAAATGTAATAAAGATTTTAAAAACTCAACCTAAATATTTATAGAGGGATGACTTACTCAGTTACAGTATTTTTGCATGAAGTATTATGTAAGCCTTTGAAAAAATAAGATAGGTTTAAGTGGACTAATGACGGTTTTTAAGGAGTTTGTGTGTTAAAAATATATAGAGAAAGGATCAGTTATAGACCTTCTTAATTTTGATATTTAAAATACCTGAATTCCAGGGGTTTAATGAGCTGTTTGATTTTATAAGCATGATTAGCCTTTTAAACAGTTTGAAACAAGTGACATGTGTAGTAATGTCTTTTTTTTTTAAACCTAGGAGGATAATGGAATTCCAGTGCATCTAAAGGGTGGGGTGACTGATGCCCTTCTGTATAGAGCCACCATGGTTCTTACAGTTGGTGGTAAGACACTTGGAATGTTTGAATATTATAGAAAAGTAATAGTAATGTTAACTAACAACTGCATTGCTCTTGTTGTGACAGTGTTTACTGCAGTCAGTCTCTACAATGTGACATCTTACTGCATCCCATAAAGATTCCAGGGGGTAAATGAAAAAAATATATAAGAGCATTTTGATGCCTTTCTTTAAAAAAAATATATACTAGTAAAGTGTTATGATTCATCTTGTAGTAGAAGTGTCTTTCTGAGTATATCACTTGTGTCTCTGTAGCCAGTTTTATAGCCAGAAATATCTACTCCAACTTCTATATCAAGGACTTAAATTTTGACTGTGATAACTATATTTTATATCTAAAACTTATGCAAACATATTTAAGACTAAAACAAAACTTGTATAAAACAATACTTAATTTTACATATGCCAGAAGGCTTTTGATTTTTTTTTTCTTTTAAATGAACCTAGCTAGGTTCATTAATTAGTATTAGCAACCACATTCCAGATTTGTAGTGTAGGAGCATTGCTAGGAATTTGAATGGTTGCTCTTTGTGTAATTACTGTGCCCATCCTGCTGAATGTATTGTCACATACTTGGATTTCTATAACTCTTATATGAAATATTTAATGTATTTTTCATTTTAAAACTGAGGAAATTAGACTGGGGTTGTGGCTCAGTAGTAAAACATTTGCCTGTTGTGTGCAAAGCCCTGCATCTGGATTCGATCACCAGCAGCATAAAAAAATAAAATGTGGAAATTAAATTAATTATTCAAGATAACATGGTGGAAGTGCTGGGTCTTGAATTCAAATTACCAGGTCCCCGTGCGCATACTAGGGTGCCTTCTTTGACTTAATTGGATACGGTTTAAGTAGAGGGGCATTTATGGATTAAGACAACAACCAGATTGACATTTGTGCTTTCTTTAATTATTTTTTTATTTTTATATTTTGGTGATACCGGGGTTTGAAATCAGGGTCTCATGCATGCTGGGCAGGTGCTCTTCACTTGAGTCACAACCCCAGCTCTTTTTGCTTTACTTATTTCTCAAAATAAGTTCTCATGCTTTTTTGCCTGGGCTGGCATCAGTCCGTGATTCTCCTACCTATGTTGCTCATGTAGTTGGGGTTACAGGCATGAGCCACTATGCCCAGCCTGACATTTGGGCTTTCTTAATGATAATATCCTTTTTTTTTTAGCCAGTGCAATAGGTTTTAAAAATAAAAATTCTTTTACTAGCTATATTTACTACTAAATTTGATTCTTTTGAAGTCTCCTCATTCCCCTTGATTGTATATTGATAACACACTTTAGGGAAGACATGCCTTTTGTTTGCCTTTACACACACACACATATACACACACATTCTTAGCATTTCTCAGGCAAGCTTATTTTAATAAGGAAATAACCTTTATTTTGGGGGGTTTATTTTCTTTAAATTTTGAGACAGGGTCTGTTTAGCTCTGACTGGCACTATGTTCTTCGTCTTAGGAACGGCATATGCCCTGTATCAGTTGGCTATGGCTTCGTTTCCCAAGAAGCAGAATTGACTGCAGTCATACCAACAACTTTCATTCAGCTCTCTATGGACCAGTAATGTGATGAATAACTGAGCTCTGCTTTGGGGATCAATATTTATTGACTTGTACTCTCTGCCACCAATAAAGCAGTCTTTACCATGCTTCGTTGTATTGTATCACTTTAGTATAAACTATACCAGTAATCCAACTTTTGGCCAGCACTTGTAAATCTTAGATAAGGAGCAAAAAGAAAAACAAAAATTTTTTTTTAAATTCCTATGTCCTTAAGCTTGTGTAAAATACCATTACAGTGAAAGTCTATTTTTAGCAGCTGAGAATTAACAGTGGTTGTTCTTCAACTTCAGTTGACACTTGAATGAAAGCATATTGTTTTCTTTTTTTTCCCCTTTCTGTACTCTCTACTGGAACTTGGAAGTAGTGGAAACAAGTTAATTTTGGCTCTTTGGAGTCTAAATTTCTTTTTCTCTTAAGCTGTGTGGGAGTACATTTAAATGTTGGATGTATTCCAGTTTAGAATTGGACTTTCATAAAACGATTTAACATTTTTTTTACACCTTAAAAAAAACACCTTTTTTTTTTTTAATCATTGTTATTCATTTATTCACATGTGTGTACATTGTTTGGGTCATTTTTCCCTCCTGCCCCCATCCCCACTCTCTCTCCCCACCCTTCCAGGCAGAACCTGTTCTGCGCTTTTCTCCAGTTCCATTGAAGAGTAGAAATAAGCAATAATAAGAAAGACATAGCATTTTTGCTAGTTGAGATAAGGACAGCTATACGGAGAGATTCCTCGCAGTCCATAGAATGAAGTTAAATACTTAGTTCATTTCTAAAAGTTATCTTCTGGAGGCACATCAGGAGTCCATCTTCATTGTGTCTTCTGCAAGTTGTACATTTGTAATACTATATGAAGATTGGAGTCTGTCAGAAGTAGGAGAAATCCACAAGTAAGTTTTAAAAACTTTAATATCTAGATAAAAATATGTTTATAAAAATGGAGGCATCTGAAATTGCCTAATTAAGCCTTTTGCTATCAAAACATTGAGGTTTTGGGGTAGCCCTTTCTCAGGGTAACTACCAATGTTTTAGCCTTAAACACAAGAGAGGATTCTAGTGGTTGTATTACTATTTGCTAACTTCTGAAGGGAGTAAGCGTTTCTAAAAGCTGAGGGTTCTAAAGGTGGCTGGAATCTGCCCAAAGCTGGCAATTTCACAGGCAGCATCTTGGGACTTCTTCCTGGACTGTGGTATCCATCCATGTGGACAACACTATCTTGTGAACCACTATCCAGGACTTCCAGAATATCAAGATTGATAATTCCTGCAAGCAGATACTGAGTGTCTACTGTGTACCACTGCTCAAAGTGCCTGAGAATCATTGATGAACAGAACAAGTAGATTCCTGCCTTCACAAAGTCTACATTGTAGTGAGGATTAGCAGGAAGGACAGTTAATACAAAAACAAATTGTACAGAATGTTAGACGATAAGGTCTATGAGAGTGGGGGAGGGAGAACAAAGGGAGAAAGCACCCTGGTGCGTGATTGGTTGAGGGCAGTATTGAAAAATATGGTCAATGGAAGCTTCAATGGGAAGGTCTGATTTAAATAAGGACTATAGAAGCTGAATAGCCAATCAGATTGTGTATGCTTGCATATGTGTGTGTGTGGGGGGGGGGGGAGGCATTCTAAGAAAAGGGAAGTGCCTAGAGCAAATAAGGTGCTTGGCGTGTTCAAAGAACAGGAAAGCAAGAGTAGATACTATAGAGGATGCAGGAGAAAAAGTTGGAAAGTTAAGGAAAGGCCATTCAAGGAAGGCCTTGTAGACGATTGTAAGGACCTTGACTTTTACTGTATCGATAGAGGAACCTATCACAGGGTTTCTCATAGAAGAGTGATTTATGCATTTTAAATAGGTGGTGAAAATAGCTAGATATGAACAAAGGAATATTTTTTCCACTTGTTCTTTTTACTGGTATATATTAATTGTACAAAATTGTGGGTTTTATAATGACATTTTCATACATGTATAAAATGTAGTTTGATAATATTCACCCTGATTACACTCTCTTGTCCCACCCCTCAGAGGAGGATCTCTATCAGCCACCTAGATCTAACCCTTTCTCATCCATCCACCCAGCCTTCCTCTAGCCAACCAGCCAGCCACAATTACTATTGAAGTCTTTGTACATAACACTGTACTAGGCTTAGAGAACTCAACTGTGAACTAGATCAGCAAGCTCATTTGTGGAGTTACAGTCTAATCAGTGGAGGCAGAAGAAGTAAATTAATTCATGGACATGATAATGTCCTGTAAAGCAAGTGACATTGGAATTAGACCAGAACAGAGAAGGAGCCAGATAAGAGGAGAAAAGCATCCAGGGAAAGGGAAATTGCTTTACATGGTTGAATTACAGACAGAATACAAGTATTGTTGGAAAGTAGGGAGATGGAAAAATCAGTATTTGTTATTTCTTCCCCAGTGACTAAAACAGTGAATGGCATGGCCCTACATGTAGGGTCCACAGATCTTTTCTGGTTTCATAATGTCATGCAACACAATTTGATAACCATAATACTAATTTAGCAAAAAGCTCAAACATAGACTAATATGTGGACACTATATCCCAGAAAGCTATTGTTAGTTACCATTATTAGCAAGAAATAGAAACTGAGAAAATATAAAGAGAGATCAAACACAATTACAAATTACATTTGAACTAAATTTTAAACCTAGATCTGTTTTAATTCTGAAGCCTAGTGTTTATCTACTATGTACCCTACTACTTCCTAGATGAGAAAAAAAAAAAACTTAGGACAATATTACCAGTTAGTTCTCCTACAGACTTCGCTGTCTTTGAATGCTGTTGTATCACTGATTAACTGAACTAGCATCATAATGATTACAATTTTACATTTTCTCTCTCCTAGATTCCTGTGAATCTTGCCATGTATATGCTCTGATGGCCTCTCCATCAATTTTATAGTTTTATAGCTGTTACACATCATCTTTAAAAAGCAGCTTAAACAACTCAAAAATATTGTGAAGGACTCAGCTAGTTAATGAGGAAAAGCAATCAAAACCCAAGACATTTTCTAAATTTTTATCCTATTATAATACACAGGAGGGAAAATGAATAAATATTACAATTAGACTGCTTAGAGAATAGAACACTGCCTACTGACATGGTAATTTCAAAGCATACATGGAGTCAGCTAAATGAAGGGGAACACAGACTTGAACACTTAGTGTACAATGTATACACATATATAACTTTGTACTGGAGTATTGTCTTCAATTATAAATGTGCCACTAATGTAATGAAATAATGATTTTTTTTTGTCATGGGAACAAATACCGAAGAAAACTTTTTAAAAAAAATTTTTTTCCTTTATTGTGTGATGGGTGGGGATACATTGTGGCATTTACATGGGTTCTTGTAGTGTATCAAATATATCATACATGAATTTACCCCTCTGCCACTCTCCTTCATCCCCCCGCCCCGCCCCTGATTCTTGGAATATCATTTTTGCATTTACATACATGTGTACACATTTTTTTGCACCATACTCACCCTTGTACCCCCTTTCTCCAACACCTCCCCCCTCCAACTGGTGCCAGCCCTCTCCGCTGGGCAGTACTTGTTCTGCCCTTTGATTTTGTAGAAGAAAAAACAGAAAAGATAAAAATGAAAAATGAAAAACATGACATTTTAGCATGTTTGAGATAAAGGTAGCTACACTGTTTCCTTATGATATTTCCATATATCTATGTTTTATAACCCCAATTGGTTTATCTCCTCTAATTTCAAGAAAAACAACTTAAAGGAGGAAAGGTTTATTTTTGCTCACAGTTTCAGTGGTTTCAGTCCATGACCAGCTGGTTTCATTGTTTCTAGGTGCATGGTGAGGCAGAGCATTACGGCAGAAGGGAGTGATAGGGCAGAGCTGCTTTCCTTGTGGTGGTCAAGAAGCAGAGAGACACAGACAGGAAGGGGCTGAAGACAAGGTATATTTTTCCAGGGCATGTCGTTAGTGGTCAACTTTCTCCAATCCAGCCCACCTGTCAATAATGATATCATATAAGGATTATATCAAGGAATTAATCTATTGATTAGGTCTGAGAACTCAGGATCTAATCACTTCTCAGTAGTAGATCCACCAACAGTGAAGCAAGCTGTCACACATGAACCTTTTGGGAAATATTTCATATCCACACCCCAACAGATGGGCTGTTTCTTGGTTTGAAATTATGTCAAGTTCTTATTGACAGGAGGCCATCCTTATCAGAGGAAGCCATCATCTTCTCTCTGGTGAGTTGCTGAAAATATTCTCTGGCATTATTCTGATAGTTAAAGGCTTGTGTCTTTGATTGGTCTTGTTTTTTCTCTTTCCAAGCCATTTGACTTCAGTTAAGGTAATTAAAACAGTCTATGGTCATTAATGTATGGATGCCCTTCCCACAGAGATTTTTTTCCTAAAATGGTGTCCACTTTGGGAAGTAAGCATGTAATAGGCCATTTGGACAATTTAAATCACAAAAACGTATCTTTGCAGCTGGCAATTATATCTTGTTTTAAAAAGTTTTCTGTTTTAGTTGGAACATTCTAAGACATAGACTAGGAAGTTCCTTTCAAAAATAAGGTGTTTGGAATCTCTTTTTGTTTGCCTCTCTTCATATTTATTACTAAAAGTCTGGACAAAGATTAACAACCAACAAAACTCCTTTATAGGATGGAAAGGCAGGCAAACCAAATGAAATAGAAAGGAACACTTCACAAGAAGAGATTTTAAATATCAGTATTATCAAGCCTTGAAAGATTTACTAGGCCCCTTTCCCAAAGTGGCAGCAGCTCAGTTTAAGTAATAAATTTGTGATAATTGGTTTCTAGATCAAACCTTTTAATTGGTATAAACATTTTCTTTTGCTGTAGATGATTGTTAAGTATGCTGAGAAAGGGAAACAAATAAACTTCTATAGAATACTTATTAAGAGCTATGTATATATTATATTATTGGAGGTATACCTTAGAGACCTTGTGGGTTGGACTTCACACCACCAAAATAAAGTGAGTATCACAATAAATTGAATTGCATGAATGTTTTGTTTTCCTAATGCATGTAAAAGTTATATTCTATTAA